CTTCTAGTAGCTACTTCTCCTACCCGCTTAGTCAATGGTCTTGTATCATTCAGAACAAGGTAGCCAAAAGAACCCAATTGCACGCTTCCCCTCCAGGGCACAGTCCTGAAGACCCACCATCATCCTCTTTCAGCATTCCAAGCCTTTGAGGCTCACAGATATCACTCACCTCCATCGATCTATGTGAATAGCCTACCCTTACAAGTTGGTGACCGAAAATGTTTGTTGGTTGCTATGACCTTAAATTATCTGGACTGCTTTTTTTTAATGGTCCACTCTTATTTATTTCGTTTGTTAAAACAGACTTTTGACTGTCTCTACTATCGCCATTTTTTTTTCTTGGTGTCACCGAGATTGCAATATTTTTGCACCACCTCCCCCCCCCCCCCCCCCCCCCCCCCCCCCGTTGACAACAGTTATTGATGATTGAAACGTGTTCTAAATTTCACGATGATTGTTGGTGTTATCAAAACTCTCGTTAGAATATGAAACTACCATATCCATATTTAGGATTTCGGCTGCGATTTACCTAATCCAGTTAAAACTCTGGATCACATGTCACCGTTCTCCAGTTCTGGTGAAACCAAAAATCCACAAACCAACATCCGGCCCACCATGAACAGGAAAAGATTACATTGTGAAGGTGTTCACATCTTAGCGCGGCAACAACTCAGATAACATTCACAAATGCGCCAGGTTAACATGTGAAGCAGAAAAACCATACGTTATTAAATACATCGTATGTGTGCCGTGGCTTAGGAGTTGCGGGTCCGACTCGTAATTTTAACGTACCGCGATCGAAACCTACTGCTGGCATTTTGGATTTTTATCATGGTATGGGGCGTCGCATGGCGACCCAGCCGAAAATGGGTACCATGATGGATGTCCTGGGGAAATAAAGACGGTCGGCGTAATGCTGACCACATTACCCACCGAGTGCCGATGGTCTGTAAAAAATATGGAAGCTCTTGCCATATGCCCGATGCGCCTGAGGCGTCAAAAGGGATCTTTACTTTACTTTATGTGTGTTCCTTCCCCACTGTAATCAACTATTGTTGGCGGAATCTATCGTCGCCTGGAGATCCCCTATATCCTTCCAAATTAACTTACAGGGCTCGAATTAAATAAGTCTAGGGGAATTATAATGGTCCCTGAGTTCTGGAAAATAAAGGAAGGAAAATATAGAAAGTTAAATGAATAGGGTGAATCCCCGGAAATTTCCTAAAGAAATTCAGAAAACAATCAAAGTCAACTTTGTTAATTTAACTCAAATCAACTTCAATGAACAATCTTTAGTCTACCCAAGAAGTTAAAATTGATAGGATGAAATCGATAAATGGAATTTCTAAATAACAACTGTATTGATAAAATACTGATATTGAATTTAACAATTTTCGAATTAACACAGAGAAAATAAATCACGGTTTCATCATTTACACCACATAACTCTGAACAAACATCAAATGTCACTCAGCTTTCCGATAGTAAGGATGAGTTGAAATTCTGCTTCTTTGGGAGGTATGGTCAAGGCTCCGGCTCCAACAATTAAAATACTTGGCTATCTGCGACATTCATCCCTGAATTTCAATTCTCCATTCTATACTGGGTGGTTCACGATCTACTGAGTTAACAGGAATGCAGGACAACGGAAATATGGTCCTCTGGTAAACAGGCAGACGTGAATACGGGAACACGGGAACCTGAAATCGTATATGGTATTATTATTATTGTTGGTGTTAGGCCGATGATATGGCTGGCAATCGTTCTGTGTTGTGACGAAATTAGATCTCCTAGTAACACCACAAAACGTCATAAATTATGTGCGCCTTCGTACCTTTTTATTCTTTTAGCGTCTATGTTTAAATATATTTATTTTACGTGCGCATTTCTTTTAACTAAAACTTGCAATTAACTCTTGCCGGACCGAAATTATCCTCCGTTTTGTCACACCCACATTGGAGGCTGGTTGCAGTTGAACCTATTTTGTTGGGGAATATTACCTGGTGAGGCTTCCACGGTATGCCTCTATGAGTACATTATGTTTGTAAATCACGTGGGGCGAAAAAATAATCCAGGTGAGTTGAGGATTGAATTGTGAAACGATTTCACATAGTTTAAAGCCACAGAACTGCTCATTTCTCCAATAGGGGGGAACACCATTATAGCACATTTTAAAACTCGTGCTCTCAAACACGTTAACAAATATCTCGAATACTCCTGTATGAATCAACACGAATGTGTGCAAGTTTTCCATGCCCTTACGATTGTGTAATTTACGATTGCACAGGCGCTACTAATTTCTCAAAGCGGTGAATTTATTTACCTTTGTTTGACTTATAATTTGTGTGCCCCTAAATAAAAATAGAATATACAGTAACTGATACAGGCGTGGAGATTGAAAATCGGTTGATATGCGTAGCAATGTGTGGTGATTATTTTGATAGCCTATTCTGCATATAATTAAAAAAACTCTCAGGAGACTAATGCCAGAGATCATCACCTAAGAGCGACAGGCCTAGGAAACGCGCAGTCTGATGTTTTAAAAAGTTCTGGTTACTCAAAAAAGGCAGTTAGGGCACACACACACGCACGCACGTGCGCGCGCACGCACACACACACACAGACACACACAACTTGATGTTTATTTACATTTTTAAAAAATCTGACAACGACATGATTATTAACAGATTTTCTGGCTACAAAAGTAAAGGCTACAGGAACACTGTTACTGGGCAAGGGAGATATTCTAAAGACCTTGTATGAACGAATTTTAACAGAAGACACGCAATTAAATAAAATAACATGTACACGAATGTTTGAACGGGGAATTATGTGTGGATCTGGCAAGGAGGGACGTATGAAAGGAAGAGAACGACCTGTGTGTAACCAGGGTGCTCCGGGAACAGTGAGCATATACACCTTAAGACAATTGCTGCGGTAGACGGAGCACCTGTGGGAATGCCCGGTGTACTATGATGTCGATTCTTGAATCAGAAATCAGTAATCAGTAATCAGATTATTAACAGGTTGCGTGTCAAATTGCAACAACTACACTGAACGGTTACTGGTTTATACATTTTAAAGGGCTTCTGGAGCGGACCATTGGAGGGTGTTTAAAATAACAATTTTTAAATGAATTATATAGATTTTAACCAGTCATTATATGCCACCTACGGCTCGCAGTCTGTTTCTCCCATTGTTATATCTTGTGCAATCTGTTAACGGATAAAACCAGTCCATCCAGTTTGGCCTCTCTCATCAGAGTTCGTTTTATGGTTTCTTTTTGGCGTCCTTCTCTTCTTAATCCTGTTATTTCCCATTTTAGTGCCTGTGTTGTGAGTTTGCTCTTTCTTCTCAGGATGTGCCCAATATAGCGTCATCTTGTCTGTCTTATAACTGTTGAAACGCGAGGCCCATACACTTCTCTGTCTTATAACTGTTGAAACTTGTGGGCCCAGACACTTCTCTGTCTTATAACTGTTGAAACTCTGTCTTATAACTGTTGAAACTCGTGGGCCCAGACATTTCTCTGTCTTATAACTGTTGAAACCCGTAGGCTCAGACACTTCTCTGTCTTATAACTGTTGAAACTCGTGGGCCCAGACACTTCTCTGTCTTATAACTGTTGAAACCCGTGGGCCCAGACACTTCTCTGTCTTATAACTGTTGAAACTTGTGCGCCCAGACACTTCTCTGTCTTATAACTGTTGAAACCCGTGGGCCCAGACACTTCTCTGTCTTATAACTGTTGAAACTCGTGGGCCCAGACACTTCTCTGTCTTATAACTGTTGAAACTTGTGCGCCCAGACACTTCTCTGTCTTATAACTGTTGAAACTCGTGGGCCCAGACACTTCTCTTATTTTTCTCTCATTTTGAATTCATCCCATTTTAAGATCAACGTTTTCCTCAGGTATTTGTTTTCAAATGTATTTAACTTTCGTTTCATGTCTTTTTGTGTTTCTCAAACTTGCACATGTGAATTTCAAAACTGAAATAATATTAGAATTGAAAATACGTGACATGGAAAACTATACAATTTACAGTTCCCTATTTTGTTCAGGTTCTTAAAAGCTGCTGATGCCTTGTTGATACATGTCATAGTTTCTTCCTTTGTATTCTTTGTATTTTCTTTACTTGAAATTATTATCCAGATAAGTCAGTTTATCTGTTACTGTAATTCCGTGCGTCTCTAGTATTACGTCTGCTTGATCTGTAACTGTTATCCCGTGCATCTGAAGTGTTCCGTCTCCTTGATCTGTTACTGTAATCCCGTTTGTTTCTAGTGTTACGTCTGCTTGATATGTTACTGTAATCCCCTGTGTCTCTAGTGTTACGTCTGCTTGATATGTTACTGTAATCCCCTGTGTCTCTAGTGTTACGTCTGCTTGATATGTTACTGTAATCCCGTTTGTCTCTAGTGTTCCGTCTGCTTGATCTGTTACTGTAATCCTGTGTGTCTCTAGTGTTACGTCTGCTTTATCTGTTACGGTAATCCGATTTGTCTCTAGTGTTACGTCTGCTTGATATGTTACTGTAATCCCCTGTGTCTCTAGTGTTCCGTCTGCTTGATATGTTACTGTAATCCTGTGTGTCTCTAGTGTTACGTCTGCTTGATCTGTTACTGTAATCCTGTGTGTCTCAAATGTTACGTCTGCTTGATCTGTTAATAGTGTCTTCAGCAATTTTGTCTTATCTTAGCTGTAATTTAACCTTTAATTCTAAATTTGCTAAATCATATGTTTCTCTTTGCAAAAAATTTGTCTTGACCTTTTTTTTAAAATTATCTCATTTAACTTTTCATTAATTTCCTCAGTCGTTTGTTTTCGAATAAATATAACTTTCGTTCAAGGTGTAGATTTATCACTGTTTTAATTCCCTACAGGCGCCATCATTAGCTCAAACGAATCCGTTGGTGTTTTGACTGGATCAGCTAAATCTACCATAGTCAAAGGGCTGTCAGCCGGAGCTTTCATGGAGTTTCTCCCTCCTATCAGCACAATGGGATCGTCTTTTGTTGTATACAAGACGCCGCCATGGTCGAGTTCAAGTGACTTTATCAGAGTGGTCGCCTTAAAAAATGGCACAAACGTGTACATGTCGACAGGTTATCAGAGGTTTCAACTTCAAGGCTCTCAGTATGTTACAAGGTAAGTCGTGTATTTGTTGTAGTGTCATCTACACATGGTGTGTGGTTGACAGAGCTGCCATGTACGCTGTCCCTTAACTGGCAGCATAAAATATGATTAATTATTCGTCATCCCCAGGAAGGATGCAATTTTTCGTTATTATGAAGCTCCACCCTGGCTTTTGTCGGGGGCTATAATATACGCAACGGTTGAACGCTGTATATGGAACATCTCCACGGGTGATCCTCATCCGCATGGTGGCACTTTGTGTCGCTTGGTCTTTATTGCTGTGTGATGTCCTGGTGGGGTCAAATGTACTTGCTTACTTATTGGCAGCATGTAGTGGGGATTATTTCAAAGTTCAGCATTTCTTTTACAAAATTAAAAAGAAAATTATTTTTCTTTTTGTGTCTCCCCCCCCCCCCCCATTTACCCCCCCCCCCATACCCGCCCCTTTTTTCTAGTTCTTTCCCTTACCTTTTGTTTTCAGTATCCTCACAGCACAGAAGTTATAGAATCATTACCTGGCGAAATGTTTATGCCAAACTGCTAGAAAAAAACAAATTGTGGCGAATGAAAGGATGTCACATGAAGAAAGAATGGGCACGCTACCGGACACCATTGGCAGTTAAAGGCAACATGTGACAATGCCGGTACGTTCGCATATAAACGTATGACAGATTTCAGCATTCTGAAGATGCTTATAACGACGTTGACTTTTAAATATCTTATACAGTGCGTGATGGACTGCAGCGTGAACCATTGGTTGGCTAACTGGATGGGGACAGCAATGTTGGAAAGAACAGTGGTATTTTGTAACGAACAGCGATTGAAACCAATCGCATTTGCCTCGTCTTTCCTCTGAGATTACCAATGTTACCTGTCTTTTTCACCATACATACAGCAAGTCTGGCAAAAAAAAAAAAAAAAACCCTGGATCAGGGCGAACCTTGAATTTTGCCCGAGATGACGGAATGATGTGAACAGAGTCAAGAGTGAACTTTGAGAAGGCCAGTGTTTTGTGATGTTTTTTTTTTTTAAATAACAGTATTGGAAAGGAAGGGTAAAAATATTGAAAAAAGGGATAATTTAAAATACTTTGGTTTGGCATTTGCTCACAGTCTGTCGAACAAACATCAGGTAGAGAAGACTGTGATCAAACGCAGTCGTAGTCTGGCGACACTTAAGACGATGGTGACGCCACAAATGTGTTTGTGATGTGTTCCAGGAATCCAGAACCCGGGAGACCTGAACCCCACCTTCCAGTTCTGTTTTTTTTTATGGGGAGGGGACCTTCAGACACCTTAAGCCCCCACCCCCTCTCCTCTCTCTCTCTCTCTCTCTCTCTCTCTCTCTCTCTCTCTCTCTCTCTCTCTCTCTCTCTCTCTCTCCTCCCCCACCAAGTATCATTGACATATTTTGTCTGGACTACCGTAATATTGACGTACCATTTTGTCTGAACTGTAATACTGACATATCATTTTGTTTTGACTTCATTAGTAACGTATCATCTTGTCTGGATTGTAAAATTGACACATCATTTTGGGATGACCGTAATATTGACCTATTATTTTGTCAGGACTGTAATATTGACATATCATTTTGTCTGGACTGTTATATTGACATATCATTTCGCCAAGACTTTAATGCTAACATATCATTTTGTCAGGACTGTAATACTGACATATCATTTTGTTGTGACTGCAATATTGACATATCATTTCGTCTGGGCTGTAATACTGACATATACCCATGATCAAAATCAAATTCGAATCAGTTGTTTTAATGTAACTTATATTTCAGGCAATTCTTTCACAATGTCATCTTGGTTGAGGCCGACCAACCAGTTTTGGTGATAAAGTATTCGCAGAATGGGGACTACCCTACAATGACGCTCATTCCGCCAACGGCTCTCTATCTTACCGGGGAGACTGTCATTATTAGCGAGGTATGTGGTTGTTATTATCCTTCTTCTTCTTATGGTCCATGCCGTGTGGCGTTGGTAGTCATGTCTATCCACAACCTTCTGTCTCGTGTACTTTCAATCAACTCTGATACAGATGATCTTCCATACCATGATGTCTGACTATCCAGCATCTGTTTTCTCGGTCTCCCTCTGCCTTTCCTCCCGTCACTATTTACTCTAGTTTTCTCTTTCATAACACATGACCAAAGAATGTAGATTGTCTTTTTCTGATATGGTCAGTCAGTTTTTGTCAAGAAATTCTCATTACGCTTTTAATCTATAAAGGGTATTCCCATCATTCATTTAAAAAACACAGCTCTCGGCAACTTCCACATAAGTTTTCCCTAATTTACATAATATTCACGATTCACGCCCGTAAATCAATTATTAACCGTAAGACTATATTATACTGTAGTAAAAGCAACTGCTAAATAATGAAAGTTATTTTCGTTTATAAGAACTACACTCTACAAGCCGCAGTAAACTACAGAGAGTAGTTTTCGTTCATCAGAAATGCACTCTAAACGTCACTGTAGAATGAGTGAAAGTTATCTTCCTTCGTGAGCAATACACTACAAACGTCACTGTAGAATGGGTGAAAGTTATCTTCCTTCGTGAGCAATACACTTCAAACGTCACTGTAGAATGGGTGAAAGTTATCTTCCTTCGTGAGCAATACACTTCAAACGTCACTGTAGAATGGGTGAAAGTTATCTTCCTTTGTGAGAAATATACTCTAAACGTCACTGTAGAATGAGTGACAGTTATCTTTGTTTGTGAGAAATGCACTCTAACCGTCACCGTAGAATGAGTGAAAGTTATCTTCGTTTGTATGAAATGCACTGTAAAAATCCACAATATAATGCGTGAAAATTATCTTCGTTTGTGATAAATGCACCTCAAAAGCCGATGTATACTATATATATATATATATATATATATATATATATATATATATATATATATATATATATATATATATATTGTTTTGGTTTTTAAATTAAAGGTCCTTCTGTATAACTATTGATAGTCTTCGTTTATGACAACTACTCTATAAGATGGTGTAACATAGTAGAGCTGTTATCTTTATGTTCATGGGTTTGCAGTACAAAGACATATACCAGAAAAAAAATATACCCATTTCTGCTTTTGAGCATGTCGTAAAATGCGACTAATAAAAATTTTGCCGAATTCGGATGTGTTGGGCCGAAAGGCTCAGATATCACAGCCTAGATGTAAACCACAACAAACCGTCCTACCGGCCAAATTAAGGGCGAACGCAGTAGAAGAATATGTGTTTTAAAACATACAGTATAGTTGCGTATTTTGACAGATCTGACCAGTACACATACAATGTTGATAGTCTCCGTCTATTGCAGGTACCCGGTTTAAGCAATAAGCAACAATATCTGATTGTTGTGGCCACCAAAGATTTCATTCAACAGATGAACTTAAGTTCTGCCACCCCGCTTACAGGCATGTTTTTGTTGTTGTAATGTTCTAACAGTTTTCTTTTCCTTTTTTATATATACGTACGTGTGTATTCTTATGTGCGCATATCTGTGTGCGTGTGCATGTGTGTGCGTGTGCATGTGTGTGCGTGTGCATATCTGTGTGCGTGTGCATGTGTGTGCGTGTGCATATCTGTGTGCGTGTGCATATCTGTGTGCGTGTGCATGTGTGTGCGTGTGCATATCTGTGTGCGTGTGCATGTGTGTGCGTGTGCATATCTGTGTGCGTGTGCATGTTTATGCACTCGCGTGCGAAAACTCACATTCACTCATGTCGCATGACAGCATCCACACATCTGCCGCAGTAGGAAGGTCCACAAGCTGAACACCCTAAACTCGTCATCGTAACTATGTATTAGAATAGGCCAAGCATAGTTAGATAGTTCGTTTGTTGTGGGGGAGTCCTGATAGGAAAAATCCCTATAAAACCCTTTGATAATGACTCTTTTAGGCTTTGAGTGTCGAATTACATGTTAGGACACATTTTCTACGCCTATTCTAAATAAATTGTCTGACCACTGCACTGCATTAGTGAGCGAGATTCGTACGCTAACTGCTGTAGTTAGGGGACGTGTTTGTGTGCGTCACTTCTCTACAGTCCGGTCTTGGAGGCAGGCGTTTTTCCTTGTGTCTCGCCGATTGACCGTTATACAGACAAGATTCCTTATTCTCTTTTTTATTTACAATGGGTGAGTTTTCTTAGGGACTTTGTATTGTTAATTATTTGCTAGTATTCGGTATCAGAACTTGGAAAGTCACTAAATTGTTGTGAATGACAAGAAGTCTGGGCAGGTATGACGTCGTGTCCGCTGTTGCTAGGTGATTTCGTAACCACAACAAGCTTCGACTGTCGTATTGTTTTCATAACATATTTCAGTCGGTCTTGGTTTTGACTTCATCGCTGATCCCCTATTTTCTACGTTAGAAGGAAGGGTAAATAATGGGGATTTGTCTAACCTTTGCCACAGAACTGAATCCAGGAACTCTTCGAGTTAATGATCTAGTACTCACTCTAGGAAACAAAAAGGATTCTAAGATTGAGGTAACCAACCTTCATGGTTTGGAATAACCTAAAATATATCTGAGCATTTGGAGGAAGTAAGGACCTTGATTATATAGGTGCGTTGAGTACGGTTCGCTCATGTCTGTTGCTTTACGTTTTTCAGGATTTTCTGAAGATCCAACAAGTGTCCGTGTATGATAGTGTGGTCCCAACTGCTACGATCCAGTAAACGATTTATGAAGGCTAAAGTGCTATGTTGAAATTGTGGACAACGCTTGAGCCGAAGTCTTTCGATTGTAAGTTGATTATCTTAAATCAACACCAGTAGCTTATTCGTTCCGGTGAAGAGAGTTGACGATCCTTGATCAACGCCAGAAGCTGATTCGTTCATGCAATGTCGTACTGGGAAGTACGGCAGTGAGAATTTCCTTTTCGGCATCCAGAGAAGCTGATTCGTTCCTGTGGAGCCCGGCAGTAAAGTACGGTGGCGGGTAATTCCATTCTGACATCTTGAGGAGCTACGAAATCTGATCAGATAAGTAAAATAACAGACTTACGATAACTCAACTCCGAAGATGCCTTCAGGGTCAAGTCTTCTCCTCCGCCGTGATGAACACGATAGTCTATAGGTCGTTTTAGAGGAATTCTTTCTCTTGTGTTAGATTTTCAAAGTTGCGATCGTTCCTTTTATTTATTCGCTACGGTTTTCATTAACTTTGTTATAGTAAATTAATTACAATCGTGATATAATTCAGTAGTTTTCTAGTTGGTAGAAAAGTTTCGCGTTACTGAATTTCATTGTCTTATTCAGAGAGGCAGTGTTGTCTTGTCAAATTCGCTGTTGATTTTTTGTTCGACTGGACTTGTTTTGTTCCAGTCTGGGGGCAATCTGTGGTGAGGACGTCTGGCCGAGAGGTACCCAAGTGTTCATAATAACCCTGTGGAGTCAGAGCTCGTGTCACCTCATCCCTGAGACAGGTTGAATGGAAAGTTTGAACCGAGGGTTAGGCCTCTAGACGAACGAGAGCCACCATTCAAAACTCTCCTGTCTCAGAGCACCTGAGGGATTTGTGAAAATATCCTGTAAGTAAGGTGCGCGACAAAACTGCCATACGACAGTCATTATCGTAAAATGTAGTCTCATGTCCGGGATCGTCGTTCTTTGTAATTGTAATTTGTCAACAGTGAATTTGAGTGTTCAGTATTTGTGCTGGACACTTGACCAGCAGGTTGTCATATTGATAAGCTGTCTGGTAGAATTAGTGACTACTTTGAATATATTCCTTATAATCTTCCTGGGAAGAAATAAGAGGTTGTTTCAGTAGCCTTTGACAAGCGATTCTTCCTGTTTTCACATCGTAGGATTTTATTGGTCCTAGTGATAGGAAGATTGTCTTTCTGACGTATTGACAATTGTTCTTCTGGTTTGTGTATAGTTGTTTTGGTTGCATCACCACTGGCGTTTTGTGTCTAACATTTACAATTATCGTAAATTGTTGCATATTTGTTGGATCTTCTTTTAAATATCTTTACAGCTCAACATGGCGCAGTATAGAATTTCTATCCAAGAGCTGAAAGAAATGGCTGTACAGATGGGACCGGAAGGAAGGGAGTTGACCGATTGGATTAAGACCACAGAAAGAGAAATGAGAATGGAAGCTTGTGAGTCTGAACGGCTTAGAATTGAGGCTGAAAAGGAGTCCGATAGGCTCAGGATCGAATCCGAGAGACTCCAGGAAACTGAGAGACTCAGGATCGAATCCGAGAGACTCATGGAATCCGAAAGACTCAAAATTCAAGCCGAGAAAGAAGTAAAGATGAAGGATCTGGAAATTCAAGCACAAAGAGATAGCCAGTTTTCTAGATCTCAGTCTTCAGAAATGGAGACTGTGTCTACTCACTGCATCTCGACACCTGCCATGAATTTTCCTATGCCTGCCTTTGATGCGAAGCTGGAAACGATTGAGCAGTATATCGATAAGTTTGTTAAACTTGCAACTATCTATAATCTTGAGAAAGATAGGTATACTTTAAAACTGGCACAGGGATTGAGAGGAGAGGCATATGAAATTTTTCAGCGGATGCCCATTGGCTCCGATACTGACTTTGAAGCACTGTGCCAGGCTTTATTGAAAAAGTTCGAGTTGAACGCTGCTAGTTACAGGCATAAGTTTAGAAATGAAAGGAAAATGATTGGGGAAACTTATCCGCAGTTTGCAGATAGATTAAAAAGTTATCTGAGTAAGTGGCGTGAAATGGCTGGCTATGAAGCTTCCTTCGAAGATCTGCAAGAATTGTTCTTAACCGAACAATTAAAGGACACTCTACCGAAGTCAATGCAAACTTTTCTCACCGAGAACGGTGCAGAAAAATTGACTGACATTTTGGTTCATGCCGAACGGTACGAGTTAGCCTATAAGGATGATAGTTCGGGGAAAGCCAAGCCACATAATAATCATAATAGGAATAGTCAGAACGGTCAGAAAACTCCAACTCCAGGTTCCCCCAAAAAGAGCCCATCCCATGTAAAACACCAGAATCCTTCTAAATTTGGCAGTTCGCAACAGAAACAGTTGTACAATAGTTCTAGAAAACCCTACTGTAGGAATTGCAATAATAATTCCCACCACACTAATGATTGTAAGGTGAAGTCAGCAGGGGGGACTCAATTGTCAGCTATGTTGACGACTGTGGGTTCGTCTGCCGCAGAGAAATTATAAAACCGTTCCAATAGGCCACCTGTGGTAGAGAAGGTCTGGGCTAACAAAAAGAGAATTTCTTGTCTTTATGATTCAGGGTTGTCCTATTCCGCGGTCTGTTCCCCTGAAATCGTTAGAGCTGATCAGTATACAGGTGAATTTATAGAGCTCAGATGTGCAACTCTTGATGCTCGACCCATGAACTTGCCCGTAGCTAAGATAGAAGTCAAGTCTAGATACGTTACTGGAGAGATTGAGGCGGCCGTTTTGAAACGGAGTACGTTCCCTCTTATTTTAGGAGCTCGTTATGTCTATTTAGCGAATGCCCCTACACCTTCAGAACAGCTTGCGGCGATGACCACCCGTGCGCAACATAAAAGTGCCACGGAAGATCAAAGTCACGTAAATCCCTTACCTGACGAGATCAAGGTAGCCCAAGAGACTGACCCCACCCTTAGGGCTTGTTTCCAAAAATTACCTGTCTGTCACACTCCGCCGAGAAGAAATGATTACTTTATGAAAGGTAAGTTGCTTTTCCGCGTTGGGGGTGACCAATATACTGAGCATAGTCAGCTGGTCGTGCCTCGACCATATCGGCAACAAATTCTCCAAATGGGTCACACGATCGCGTACAGTGCCCATATGGGAATAAATGCCACGACTTAACGTATTTCCTGTCATTACTTTTGGCCGGGTATGACCACGGACATAATACGTTTTGTCAAATCTTGTCCGGAGTGCCAAAGAGTCGCCCCGAAAGGCAAGATTGCACCAGTTCGACTGGGAGAAACTCCCATAATGTCCACTCCCTTCGAGAGGGTGGCTGTCGACTTGGTGGGACCCCTTCCCCTCACGAAAAAGAAGAATGCCTATATCTTAACCCTCGTAGATAGTTGCAGTGCCTGGGGTGAGGCTGTACCGCTTCGTAAGATAGATAGTCAGAGTGTGGCTGAAGCTCTGATTGGCATCTTTACTCGTGTAGGATTTCCCACACAAATCTTGACTGACAACGGATCGCAGTTCAAAGGGAAATTGATGGAGGAGGTGTTTCAAATTTTTAAATCTCATCATATATGCACTAGTCCATATCGACCCCAAGCGAATGGCCAAAATGAGCGATTCAACGGGACGTTGATTTCACTGCTGAGGAGGTTATCCCAAGAGAAACCGGAGAAGTGGGACGAATACGTGGCTGCAGCACTATTCGCTTATCACCGAAGTCCCTAATGCTTCCACCGGCTTTTCGCCAGCAACGTTGGTTTT